GTTCATGAAAACTGATTCATCGTTGGTGAAGATATCACGTAAAATTAGATATCACTATATATAAATAGGCAAAGACAAAGTACATCTATATCTTTTCCTCTTTTGTTTTTCAACCATTTTTTTTTTGTTTAGCAGCTATTGACTAATACTGTGACTTCAGTGTTATGAATAAAAAAAATAAGAAATAGTTATTTTTTATATTATGGTCAAATTTCGAGCACTGGAAGAACATACGTATATATAAAAATACACCCGAATTTAGTACCTCAGTAATTTTGATTAAGGTTGATTTTAAATTTTAGAAAAAAAGGTAATAACTATATAATTTTACAGTCCAATCTTCCTCATGTCTTCTCCTTTCTACGTGACATTGGTGAAGTAATCTGTGCTCAACTGGCACGCTTTAAAGTCATTAAATAAGAGAATTGAATAGAAAAAAGAACATTTTCTTTGAACTCACTTTAAAAAATTTAATTTGCCACATAAACATTGTATTTTAAAGCAAATGCTACGCACTTAGTCACTCGTATAAGAAAACAGACCAAAACCATTTCTTTAAAAATGAACATCAATACAAAACAACAGGCTATCGGCTTTCAAAATATGACGACTGCCAGATAATGCATTTAAAATTGATAGTGAAGTACTTAAGTTGTTTATATTTAAATTTTCGAGCAAGTTGACAGTGGCTATTATCAGCTACCTCAGAGTGAGAGATAAGAAGGCCACAATGAGATTTATTGCACACTCGCGTTAACAGGGTGTGTTAAAAACGTTTTTATAAACGTGTTACTTGTGTATCGCACATCTCAATTAGCTTTAATGTGACCGCTTATGTTTCACGGTAAGCTGTAAAGATCAAAAATAAAGTTACATCCCGTATAAACCATTAAAATCGGTGGCACAATCAATCTTTGTCGCAGATTGCTTCTAAGTCTTCGATATAACAAGTATTATAAATTATAAAATCATTAATTAAATGGTGTGAGATAAAATAATAGGTGTATCTTCTAATGGAATCTGTGCGGGTGTTTTCTCAAATTCCTTTTTGTTACTTAAAAAAACTGCTTGGAAAGTATTTTTATCTAAATATAGGCGATGGTGGAATTTCAAAAACAAACATACATTTCTTTGATCTAGGTAACAAAAATGTGTTCCATTTTCTCAGACAGAAGCGATTTGATACCAACCGTACGTCCATATTGTAGAATAATAAGAGTTATCTTTTAAATTAAGTGCAGACTTATAAATGGCACATTCTTTTATTCATGTTAATATTAGAAGTGAAAAAGTTTGTGAAGTGGAAGAAGAAGTCGCATATTGGAATATTTGTGACTTAAACAAATGTATATTTTTAATGAATTCAGATTAAACCTGCAGCGTAGCATGGAACTTAGGCCATTAATTGTCAATAGACGTATTAAACTACATAATAAAGCTTTCTATAAGCGATATTGATTGTAGAAACTCAAGGACACTCAATTCAACACATATAATATTTTTATGTGTTATTCCGAGATATTAGATAACTAACGCGTTTTCTAAGATTCGTTTCGATAACGTTAGCTAAATTATATATAGACCACGCTGCGAAAGAAAGTTTATATAAGATAAGAAGAGTTTTTTTACGGACAAAGCCGCGAGCAGAAGCTAGTTCTTATATAATATCTTCAATATGAGTCAACTTCACACCCAGCCTTACAATAAAGAGAAAGAATACCGGTTAAACTAGACCCGTCATTCGCCTACAAAACTGATGGCAATGTATACGCTATTGAAACAATAGCTACACTTGCTAGTGTCTGAAATTGAGCGCGATACGACTTAATACTAATTTAAATCCATTTTTAGAACATGCGACTTTTAGTGATTTTATATATAAATATATAAAATAATTTGTAAAATTGGGAACACTCGTTCTGTTACCATATAAAGTGATCTTGGTCTGTTTATTATAGTAGATAGTAGAATTAGATCAATTCCGAAAAATCCTATGTACAATATACATATGTCTTCGCTACAAGAAAAACTGTGAGAACGTTTAATCTCTAGTTCTTTTAGCTAATTAAGATATTAATTAATTATCGTTATGAAAATATGTCAAATTATTTAAAATAAGAGCTAGGTAACAATAAAACAACTGTAATGTTGGCAGTAGCAATAAATCCAATTCGGACGTATCTGGGCAACCAAAATTTTATCTTCTACATAAAGTGGTTCAAATAAAATACAAAACAAAAAGGAAACAAATCGCTGTGTAACATACACTTGATCAGCAACTATCCACACTCGTACAGAAGTGGAATATCATTCACGAGCTATAGCCGCAAAAATGTACAAATAGATGAGTTATACAAAAACAAACACAACCTCGGTCCTTGCAAAGGACATTGTAATTCATCGTGATTGGCACACAATAATGGAATCAACTATAAGCCATTTAAAAATTGTCCGCGTTAAAAGGAAGAGCTAAGCAAAGCAAATAAAACCTTCGAACAATACCAGAGCTCGACTCAGAATTTGTAGGGCCATTAGTATGGCGAGATACGCGTAGTTTTATTGTTTTTTTCATTATGACCAAATATTATTATAGATTGAGGATAATTTTTCCATTTCTTTCTTACTTATCTCTTTATTTTATATGTATATCTAAAGCTTTTATAACTTACAGATAGACATCCTAGTATGTAGTATACCTTACTTACTACTTACAGATATACTTTTAAATTGGATGGATTGTTTGTTCAAGCAAATATGTAGAAGAAATCTGGGGAAACATTTAGAAGTTATATTTTGAAAATTCGGATCGAATTGGTATACTACGAATGTATTTATTATTTTTAATATACATATGTGTTACATACAGTTACAGTTACACATATTTAAGCTTCGGTTAATGTAATTACTTCGACTGCATCTGATTTATTAGGGAAGTGACCCAAAGTTCGCGTAACTAATAGGGATAAGTTGCAGAAGAGGTGGGAAGCGATAATTCTAATTGACCAATAAAAAACCATAATATAATTCATTCATTGGACCCAAGAGAACATAGCAAATGACATTATACGTGCATCTGTAATGGACTTTATTGCAAATACTAAAGTATAATTTTATGGTAACAATAATTTTGCAGCAGTATCCGTTTATCTTTCCTTACACTCAGTCGCAATTAATCAGAAGACGTTGTCACTTGCATACCTCGACACTGGTTTTACGAAGCTGTCATATAGATATATACTAATTTATTCCTTACATCTCAACCTTAAGAGTCAAAATACTCTGAATGCGTGTGACATATACAAATTACTGTGTCGCCCACGGTGTAGTAAAAGATAAAAAGGATGATTTTGAGCTAATTATCGGCAATGTAGAAAGATTCTACTTTTTTCCGCCACTTAACACCTCAAATGCCAACTTGTTTTATTTTTTAATCGAAACACATTTAGAATATCTGGTTGTTATTATTTTGATGACTTTATTTATTTTAATGTTCTTATTTATAATGTTAATACTCACATTTAAAGCGAATCGAAATTGTATAGTCATACTTAAACTATAAAAATGTAAAAATATCTTATAAGAAATAACTAAAATTAGTTGAGATAGTCGAGAATGTTAGTATGTTATTAAGACTACTTGATCTAGTGGCCAACATATACATACATATAATACTATTACGGTGCGTCGTACCTAGGTTCAAATCCGGATTGAATTTTCATTTTCTAAATATTCAGTAGCAGCCCGAAATTGGAAAGCTGGTGGTAATAAGCCATTTCTACCTCGCCGTAAAAGCCGTCGGCGTGCATGATCACGGGCATGATCCCTCATCAATCGTGTTGTCTCACTGAAATATCACAGTTAAAGAGTGCACTTATGTTAGCACAAACACTTATGCACTATACTGTCTTCTGCGTAGTTGACAGATCTCAGTGATATTGGCAGCCATAACCCAAACCAATTATATATTATAGAGCAAACCGAAAGATTAATATGATGCATTTATAATTTTATTATTATAGAGTTATTTAGATTAAAACATAAATATTTTTATAATATCTGATATATAAAAAAATCACTGTACAGCATATCAGGAAGTGAAAAGTTTAATATCAGCTATTCTGTACCGTTAACATGTAGCCATAAAAGCTATGAATTTATCAAAGGATATACCTTCAAAGAGTATTTTACAGAGACCGCACAGAAAGACATACGATTTTATAGAATTAAATATATATTATTAATTACGATACTTATCTTATAGACGGGTTTTGACAATTATTCCTGTATTTGCAAAGGGAATTCGAAAGTGATAGCTCGTGCGTTTAATTTTTGAAAGAAACCTTTATTACAATAAACATAAGGTACGTTTTTCTTTGCGTAAGTATTTGAATTAGTAATGTTCTTCGTCTATCGAATCGTGTGTTAAAGCAAATTGCTGTTACAGCGATTATATTTCTAATTTGAAATGAAATTACGTTAGTTATTAATGAAATACCGATGTTATTAGATATTATTCAATATGTTGTTATATGAGAATGGTATTGGAGAAGTAGAAATTATACGTAGTACTAAAAATTTTGCCTAAGTATTGATTTTTCAATCAAGTTAAACTATAGTCTATACATACACTATAATATTATTCGATTGAAAAGAAAAATAAGTGAATTATGCCTTTGAAGAATTGTAATATTTTAATTGTTTTTTATTTGTATGTATGTATATTATATCTATAAATAACTCATAACTCATATACATATATCGCATTTCAGCTTCATTTAACTTAAAATTTTAGCAATTTAATTTTGTATTAAAAAAAATAAAACAGAAAAAATATATTTCATCGACTATTTTCCATGTTCAGTCAATAATTACAAACTTAAATCAGTTAAAACTTTGAATATTATTAAGTTTGATTTTCTTCATTATATAGAAAGTACATAATATAATAATATATAAATAAAACTAATAAGATATATATTTTTTTATTACAGATCTCAGCTATGGATCCCGACTGCGGTGTCAACGCGATCGTCAACTATACTCTCGGTGAAGGGTTGGCTCGACCCCAGTTCACTGTAAAAGCGGATACTGGCGAACTTTGTGTTGCAAATCCTCTGGACCACGAAATGATCAGCGATTTTGAATTTCCAGTCATCGCTACAGACCGAGGTACATTTAACTCAAAAATAAATACTTTTAATCCATACTAATTTTATAAATGCGAAAGTAACTCTGTCTATCTATCACCTTTTCACGCTTAATCCGCTGAACCGATTTGGATGTTTGGTATGGAGATGAGACTCTGGGAACAAATATAGTATAGTTTTTATCCCGGACATCATCCCTTAAGGAGAAAAGAGGGTGGAAGAAGGTATATAAAACTCATCATATCTATGTATTTTTAGTCCATCTATTACATACTAACCGTTAAAACGTACCTAGGAACGAACTCTAGCGAAGCGCTAAATATAGGCGTTCGAACAATACAGTATCGGTCAAGTAAATTTACCAATCAAACAGGCCATTACTCATAGCATTAAGAGAAACAATGAATGGTCCGTGTACATTTTTTGTGTCCTCCCATTCATTATCAATTGGAAGTAATAAGTTTGCCAGTGACAGAGCTATAGCTATGCATACGACTTGAAATAAGGCACCGGCAAAATGGCAAGGGAATAAATTCCGAGAGTGTCGGCCGTTGTCCTACCTCTGATTTATGGAGCGAGAAGACCTAACTATCACTTTACGTTTTTATTTCGAGCGGCGACTTTGCCTCTAAAGAATTTCGGTAGTAATTTCAACATTCAATAGTGAAACTGACGAGTTTACTTACGCTTATTAATGGTTTTTTAAATTGAGCTTGTATGTTTGTATATATGGACGTTTGTCTTTAAAGTACAGTTGAAGGATAAAAATATAGTAATATTTACTCAATATAGGCCCCATGTTGTGCGAATTTTATTAATCTTAGTCATTAATCAGCGAAACGTCGGTTCAAATACAATGTTGTTTGGTTCCCTCAATGCTATTTGCGTCACAATTAAAAACTTAAAGTATAGCGAACATCATTTTATCGCAAACATGTAACGAAAACGCGTTGACATCAGCATAAATCAAGCACCTGTCAATTAAACATAGTATTACAACAAAACAGACAATCAAGAGACCAATTATTTATTTATTCGCAGGGGGCCTGTCCACGACCGCAATGGTGAAGATTCAACTTCTCGATATCAATGACAACGTTCCGGCCTTCACTGTGAAAGATTACAACGTTTCTTTGAAGGAGGGAAGGGTATCCAACAACGAACCCATAGTGGCTGTTTCCGCAAATGATGCAGATTCAGGAAAATTTGGTACTGTCACGTATAGGATAGTAAATGGGAATGATAATGATGTGTTCCGGATAGATAGGAGTAGTGGAGAAGTGTTTGTGACAAAGCCAGCTCTCATTCAGGCAAATGGTAAATTTGATTTGGAGATATCAGCGACGGACGGTGGGGGGCTGTCCGCGCCGCAAGGGGCTACAGTGCATGTGAACGTGATGCCTGCTGGGGTTGGTTCCGCATTGTTCGATAAACCGAGATACAATTTTCGTGTGCGTGAAGACGTGAGAATCGGAACTATTGTTGGCAGTCTTAAAGCTACAGCTGGAGGTATATTTTTGAATTTAATATTAATATTAATTTGGTAATAGTATAAATATCTCAAGTACTATAGAATGAATAGGTTTATAATCTATACCTATAGAGTATTATAAAATTATGTATACATGTTCATAATATACTTGCATATAAAGACAGAACGCTATACAGAAAAAGTAACTTTAAAATAAATCGATATTCTCTACATAAAACTAAAGTAAATATTTAAAATAAACAATTTAGTAAAATGAACATATCAATCTATGATTACAAAATATACACAGACCTCTTAATTATGAAACATGATATTGTGAAGTTGATGAAATATGATACAATTATTTTGTTAGTGATTAAGTCACAATGCACATTGATAGCATTCTTCAAATAGAAAGCATCTTAAGCAAACACGAAAGACATTTGGGGCTACATGAACAGGACACTTAAGATACTGAGTAAATATTAATGCGGGACTACTGAATCCGAGTTCCCTTACAGCTTCATTTTACTTAAACAAATTTATTGAATTCGTGATACTTTTATACGTATTCAAGAGAAAAGCGGTGGTAAAGAAAAGTTTTAATATATTTCCGTGTTTGGTCCAAGTAATGAACTTAGAATATATTTTTATCTGCTAAAATTCCGCTCGTACGTTACGGTCGGTTGTAAATGTAAGGATTTAAATTAACAAAAAAATCCTCCATATTAACAATATCGACAAAAAACACTAAAAACAAAACAAAATCTCATTAAAAAGTTAATTTCTAATAAAGAGGTTAGCTCACTTAAAAAATATTGACTGAAGCTTAATATAATAAATATTTTCGACAATTCAAGATCAAGATGTAGTACCTATATTTTGAAAATAATTAAAAGCCTGTAAATTGCACCACAAAGCTGAAGTATAAGCACATAACATAATCGACTATTGTTTAAGAGTAAGATCACGACTGTGATGGGCAGTCGTCGTTATGCCGACTCCCACTTTTATATATCTCTTTATACTTTCTAATCTTAGAATAAATTTGTATTGTAATCATCAACACTAACCAATAAATGTATTGAAATAACGATATTTGTATGCTCCGAGCGCTATCTTGCATTTAATTTTGAGTCCCTGTAGATTTTATCTGGTGATGAAAAATATTTTACAAAACTGGTTAATATGTTTTTTTGGGGAATGAATTTGATTTAGTTTATGGCCAACTTTAAAAAATGAGATATAATTAATTTAGATGTATGTTTGTTTGTATACAGAATATATGTAGAATGATGTAAAATGACAAAAGTCATTAGCTATTATAATTTTGAACCGCTTTCAATAATCTTAAAAAATATCATACTGCAAGAGTGTTTTATTTTAAAATTAAAAAAAAACCACTTCTAAGTGTAAAATTATAACATTCAAAGTTATTATAAAATAGTAAGTATGTATTATAATATCGATCATAATATGTATATGATCGTTATAGTATAATGCGAGAACTACTGTTTTAAATAAGTAGCCAACTAACAGGTATTGCTATTTTATCTACACAGATAAATAAAATTGAAGTGTCTGTTGGAATTTCAAAATAAAATCTATTTACTGAATACATATGAAAGTATATACGGTACTAATAAGAAAAAAACTATTTTTAAATTTACATCTATCTGCTTGTTTCGGCTAATCTCCAAAGCGGCTGGACCGATTTTGACGAGACTTTCACTGACAGTTAGCTGATGTTATAAGGAGTACTCTAGGCTACTCTTGATTTAGAAAAAAAAGGGTTCCGCGCAAAAAAAATGAAAACCCATTAAATTGTGAACAAAATCCGCGTATCTGCGGACGAACACGAGTGAAGCGATGGTAAATCGATAGTTAAGTGTACAAAAAACTGTATTCCAAATTATTTACATAGAACTGTTATAGACGAGGCGCCATGTTTCTAGTTTAACTGCAAATTGAAAAGTAAAGATGATCAAAGCATCCCATCAAGCTATATGAATAGTAGAAACTACAGCCTTGAGCCTGTTTTTAATTGAATATGTTTTATGGACTGTAATACTAAGGCTCATATAAGAATAATTTACGATACGTTATTGTGACTTGTATTCACTTTCTATTGTACAATAATATCTACATAGATGTTTGTTTTGATTCTATATCTAATTATCTATATCTACATGTAAAAAATTCTGAGTCGAATCTGTAGGTAGGTACATTAAATATTTTTTGGAAAATCTTCAATCATCGATACAGAGGCCGAATCTATAGTTTTTAGATTTTTTATCCGTCTGTCTGTGACCGCATCACGAGAAAACCACTGGTGAACGGGAAGATGTCTCTCTGAGAAATCTATACTAAACGTAAAAACGTAACGTCGCAAGTTTTTATGTAAAGTAGTAATCAGTTATAAATTAAGTGCCTTTCGGTTTGAGTTATATAAAACTTTATGGAAATATATATAATTGGTTGTCCTGACTGATTCATCGATGCAGAGCCTAAACCACAGAGTTTAAAATCTTGAAATTTTGGCAGTTGATGCATTTTATGATGTAAGCATCTAACATCTAAGGAAGGATTTTTAGAAATTCCGCCCCTAAAAGGATAAAACATGGAACGAACTGTTGTATGGAAATCCGCCATTTTGAAAGTTAGAAGTATGTCAAATACAAGCTTGTAGTAGAGTATAAGAGTATACGGTGAGTTTTTTCGTGTTATATTCGCACATGATAAAGTGTTAAGCGTTATAGCCACTAGCCCAATAGAAGCGTATTTAGTTTGAAATCAAATCCAGTTAAAGCAGGTTCAAATCCGATTTGTATATCCAACATTCCTTTGTACGAATATTATTTCCAGCATGATTATATGACACTATTTGCTAATAGGCTAAAAACATCATGAGTCAACCCCCACATGTTAATTCCCGTTTTGAAAAGCCCAGCATTGTAACGATGAAAGGGTGGATATAAATTTTTTTACTAAAAAAAACGATAATCTAAACGTATCATGTACAATCAAACATCGATTATACACGCCGCACTCGCTGCACTTGTTGCAATGTATCGTCTTGTAATTGGCGAGACATATGTGTAATTTGGATGTAATTAATTCAGGCATTATTGTTAATATGCAAGGAATCTGTTCAGATTCGTTCGACTCCAAGAAATGTTAAGAGCAAAAAATCCAGTAATAAATTAAATGGGCGTTACGATTTCATTCGCTTTCGATCTTAATTTTCTTTTTAGTTATGAATTGTAATATTTGTAAATAATTTTTATTTGGTTTTTCATTAATTTGACCGTATATATGCTTGTGTTTATTGGTTAATTTATTAATTGTCATAAGGATATTATGGGTTTGATTCTCGATTTCTGTAAGATGTACATCTTACTTTTAAGAATATTTTGGAGTTCGTATTAGTTTTAGCTATTATAAGGGGTCAGTTTAAAGATAAGTAACTTAAAAATTATTAGGTACTACTTATAATTTCATTAGAGTATACAAAATAGTAATACACTATATGTACATATATTATTACGTTTTATCGTTTAGCTCAGAGATACGATATTTTTCCACAGTAAAAATTATTTATATATTAATATAGGTTGACCCGGATAACCAGCTATCATCATACCAAGTTTCATCAAAATCTATACAGTGGACTATCGTGATGCGGTCACAGACAGACAGACAGACAGACAAAAACTCTAAAAACTATTTCAATAACATTTTCCAAAAAATATTTAAAATAGAGTTTGGGCTTGGTTACAATTTTATTATATGTATAGATAGATTTTCAACTCAAGTATTTATGATCAGGTCAAGATATAAAAGAAAATGTCATAAGTGACTTAATAGCCGTAAGCTTCATCGGAACATGTTTGCTAAATCACAGCCAGCGTATAAACTTCGTATCACTGGCAATGCGTTGTTTCACTAATATTTATACAACTAGACTTAGGCCGCTTATTACAACGTAGCGAATTCATTGCCAGAATTATTTTTTTAAAGTGACTCGTGGCACAGTAGTGCTGATACTAAGGGCTTTCACAAGCGCGAATATTGATAATATTTATGTAGGTAATTTACTTCAACTTGCTTTATGTACTACTAGCGACTCACTCTCGCTTCGGTCGGGTTCGTCCCTCCCCCATACAAACTTTCATCCCCATTTTCACCCCCTTAAAGGATGATTTCCGACTTTACCTCTTTATAATATTAATATAGATTATGTATCCGTGCTGAAAATAAAAGAGCAAGTAATATTTTTATAAAATGACTGCATTTTAGCGCCCAAATTTATATTTTTATTTGGTGACTAAATAGATGCTCAGGTCTTCTTAGGATTTAGAATGACACTAGATATTATTAATCAGTTCATATTTTTTAATACATATACATATGTACGTATGTATTGAGATTTTAATGAATTTTATTTAATCTATCGCTCAAATTTTAATGTCTCTTCTCATATTTATTTTTAAATAATAACAAAAAACCAACTATCTTAATAATTGCATAAATTATTTTAAAGAAGTTCTATAAGCGTATTTAAAATATGATTTTAAGTTCTATTTCGGTGTAAAGGAGGATCGTTTTATTCCAGTCCACGTTTATTCTGTTGCAAGTCGAGTCGCTGTAAATCACTGAATTGCGAACCCCACCGTTATAGTACGTGGTGCACTTGTCCATGGGAATTCCACAGACCATTGTCGGGTTAGATCAGAACTATAGAAATGATATCAATAAAATAATCAATTTTGATACAGCATTAACCGTAAACTCAAATTTGGGGTAATTATTTTAAAACGTTTTCGGTAATCATATTAGGTACAAATTGTATTATTTATACAAAAGTTTTTATATAAGCATGATGTAATTTATTTAAGTCTAATACTTTCTTAGACTTACGCTAATATTTGACATTTTAAAAACCAAAAATCTAAATAAATCCGCGAAATAATCCGTAAAGATAGTTTTATTTTATCTAAGTCTCTTCTTTTGGGACTTAGCGAGATAAATTAGAACA